TTATATCAAATTTTAAGTTTTATACCGGGGTGCCCCGGTCAAAAAACACATTTTTTTATTTTGAATGCTTATATACAGTACATTGTATTAGTTATACAGTATATAGATTATGTCATCTGAGCTTGAATTATTGAAACAGCGTATCACTGAACTTGAAGCAAGCTTGAGGCTGAGAATGACGCAGGGCAATAGCTTTATTAGTAAATATTCGAGTACGTAAAACTTTATGCTATGCTCACTGGTAAAGATTTGGATGATGTAGACGTTAAAGGAAAATTCATCAGTGGATTTATCATCCGATAATAAAAAGCGCGCAGAAGAGTTTGGTTTAAAAAACCTTTAAAAAAGATAGTCAAATATTTAGTTAGAGATCCAATACTTTCTACCGAAATACCGAAATACAAAGTGGAGAAGCTGAAACAAGGTAATGAATCGGTAAGGGTATTTTATCAAAAATTAGAAAGGCTTAGAAAGCTTTCTGGATGTGATAAGAAAGATCTTAGAAAAAAAAAATTTTGCGAAATTTCAACTATAAATCAAGATGAAGTCAAATTATGGGGAATGAATCTTCCTTTGGATGAGTTGATAGAAAGGCTTGAAACACCAGAACAACTTTCCGAATAATATAGAGAATTGCTGAGCCACAATTGTATGACAAAAAATAGGTGGATCACCAGACAGGTTTGTGTGACATAATAATTTTCGCATATACTATATATTCGAAAAGAAAACATAATTAACCTTGTTCTTTATTTTTTCCCGAACAAATGTGAGAAAATGTGAAAGGGCGTCTAATTGCAACACAGGATCTATCGTAAAAGTTAATATTAGTATCGAAAGCATATGTTATAGAAGGCTGAGGGACTTGCAATTCGAGATCGTCAGGCGTAAAGCCAACTATATTTCTTCCGGTAGATCATGTGAAAAGGTAAGAAGATTCTGCCTTCATGGAACTCCTGGCATCATATGACAAAGCTAATTACGCCTCATACCTCCTTATATTTTTCCAGCAAGATATAAAGCATGTAGGAGTATGTGGAAGTTCAGTCAACTTTCCACCAAAAACTTTTCCAGAGAAAATAACGCAAAATAAGGTATGTATATACCAGAGAGGGTGGTCACTTTGTGACCCAGTATGTGTGTATAGGAACGGGTTTTTCTCACTATGGGCTCTTGTATTTAGGAAAGCAAGATGTCTACACATTAGAAGGATAGGAAACTGAAAGACTTATCAGCTTTTTGCGAGCTGATTCCAAATTAGAAGACTTAAAAAACTTGACAATAGCTTCTTTACAAAGCTTCGTGATGAAAAAATTAGCGGTCATTCATTTCTCAATCTAACCGGATGGGAATTTAAGAATTACAGAATGACCTTAGGACAAGCATTAAAACTCGAAGATTACATTAAGGAGCTAAGTGAGTAATTAGCAACGTTATGGCTGTATTTTATTGACGGATGTGATAGCTCTGCTATCTGTTCTCGTTGTTCTAATAGTCTTATTTTATAAAATCAAAGATAATCGAAAAGCAGGATTAGCGGTTTACCATGTGAAAGGGAGGGCTCAAAATCAGACGACCTCTCAACTAGTTAGAAATTTTTTATATATTAATTATTGCCTTGGCAACGTTTTTATGTATTGTA